AGGGGACGGATCCCCCGGCGTTTCCCTTCGTCCCCGCGCGGTGCTCCGCGGCCGGGCAGCGGCCCTCGGTGCAGGGTGCCCCGAGCTGGGGACAGCCCGGCCCGCAGCACCGGGAGTCCCGCGCTTCTCGAACGGCGGGGATTCAGGGAGCGAGCGCTTCGTCTCGGCTGTTCTCGTTATATTTGCTGCAGTTGACCGGGGGTTTCCGTCGTCCTCCCCCCAGGTGGCTTCGTGGTGGCTCGAGGTCTTTGACTTGTGAGACCTCTGCCTTGTAGCTGCCTGCTCCTGGTGCGCTTAGTTCCTAAATGAGTAAGGAAACCTGTGTCCTAAATCTGGTCTTTTGTGTACAGGCAAGGTGAGGCCAGATGACCAGCTGAGCTATTTCAAAGCGGAGCACATGCGGTGTAGAGAAATACATACGAAATTAACATCCCATACAAACTCACCAAATAAGCTGGTTTTCTTTCTTACTCTGCCCGCAGTTCACAGGTGGATCTTCATGCCATGCATTCCATGTCCTGCTTTCTCTGCCAAGCATCATTAGTATTTGAGATGTTGGTCTATTAACAGGCTAATTCACTGAGGAGTAGATTAGCACAAAGTCCTGTTGGATATGTACCTACAATCTTAGCCATGCCCTGAAATATCTCAGCACTCTTTAGGTTTACTGATTTGTGAAATCGAGGTCTTTTTGTATAGTGGATAAAATAGTTTTGGTTTTCTTTTTAAAGCTGAGACAGTAAACACAATTTGTGTGGACTGATCTCTGTCTCTGTATATTTACTGAACGATATACCTGTCTACAGACTTAACTATTGCATGTTACTTTAGTTTTGTGTAGAACATACTGTATTCATAGTAGATCAGAAAGGTATGTTTGGCATACCGAGTTGTTAGCAGGAGGAAGGAAGCTTTTAGATAAATTTTGTATGGAAGTTTAAGTGAATGAGACTGTCATCGTGTCTATGGTAGGACTGGAAAATATAACGAGAGTATCATTTTTACTGTAAGACTTCTTTAGGTGTCACCCTTCAAAAGGCAGCCCAAATGCAGGTGAGTGGGTGCTTTATGAGTGTGCAGCAGTTGTGTCAGAGATGGTAACAGTGTAGCATTGGAGCATTCCCTTAGTTTGTCTCCTGCTGTTCTGCAATGGTCAAGCAACCCTTGCGGTTCTTGGATAGTCAGTTGTGCACCTGTTCTAAATAGGTGAGGATTACAGATCTTTCTTAAAATACATGAACAGTGGAGTTGGTAATGGAGAGATGGATCTACTCGGCTCTTGTCCGTTCAGGTATTTTACACAATAATTATAGTAACTCATGTAACAGAGGATTGATATGTGTGACTGTGTTCTTTTCTTTCCCCGCTTCCCACAGCACAAAGACCCTGCCTCATTTCAGTCTAACTTACTCAACTGTCCTATGGAGTCACTAATACTAACTCACTTATTCTGTTCTGTGTGCACATATATAGATAGAGATACTGGTCCTCTGGAGAGTGGAAAGCTTTTATTGTTGTTCTTGTGTTTTGGAATTAATAATGTATCAGGCCTTATATCTGTCTCCCAGATGTTTTGTTTGCAGCCTGCTCTTTGGCCATACAGCTGCCTCTTTCTCTTTGCTGGTTTTCTTTTGTGTCCTTCAAGGCAGTTTACTTATAGGGCAGAGGTGTTCTGTACCTGACTTTTGTATTTCCCAGTGTCAGTGGTCTACACACGTGTTAGATTTAGGGTATCCTTCCAAAACTTGATTTTTATGTTATGCAGGAGTAGTGGGTTGAGTTGTAGAGACTCTGGATTGTGTGTAGGCTGTGGCTTTTTCAAATTACTGCGTCGGAGAATAAACAAGCATTGTGTGGGAAGGCCAAGACCTTCTGCTTTCCAGCACACTTGTGCGCAGATTCAAAGCCTCTGGATCATGATGAAGAGCTTGGTACTTTTGGGGTTATTAAATCAATATTTGTCACTGTGTGAAGAATTTGATTTCATTTTCTTAAAGTGGGTGCAATAGCTGAGAAAAATGCCAAATGTTTAGGAACACTGTCAGTATAGCTATATATGATTTTATTCACAACTGTCTGCAAAAATATCATAGTAGAATCTGGAAGATTAATGTAAAAAGGCGGTTTTACAGGAAAAAAATTAATGAGTGTTAGTCTCAAGTGACCTGAGACTTCTAGTTCTGCCTGTGTGGCATCCCAAATTTGGTGGCAATTAAGAGGAATATGTGAGTTTCGGAGTACTTGGAATACAGGACAATAAAAAGAAATAAGTGCTTGTTCTTAAGTAGAACTGAGTGTTAACTCACTTGTAGTTGAAGTGTTTATGCAGTGTTATTACAAACTTGCTTAGTGAACTTTAGAGTAACAATCTTCTCTGAGTATTTCTATCTCTGTTTTTATATTTATCTATTTTCATTAATTTCACTACTATCTATGAAATAAAATGACCAAAAAAATTGCCCTGTGGAATTGATGCAGTCTTCTGCCCTTGCAGCAGGTAGATAGCAGCGTGTGGTGTTGTGTGACAACTTGTGGTTGTCATGTTCCTGAGGACTGCAGGGAGCTTCATTTTCTGACCATCATGTAGAACTTAGTGTTCAGTTCTACTGTGCCTTCAACTGGTTGACTATGGTTGCAAGGAATTTGCTATGGTCAGATGTGTGACTGACAAAGAAATACATTCTAAGAAATAATTTGTATATTAGATCTGTGATAGAAAGTGATTTTCTAGTAAATATCTTAAAACATATGGTCACAGTGAAGAAGAATGGGGGAAGTAAGATACCTTCCCTTTACTTCTAAATACTATGATTTGCATGTTCTTTTATTTCTTCCTTGTTCCAACCCATTCTGTCCTAGTTAATGCTAAACTCTCAGTCATTTGTTTTCTCATCTCTCCTCCTGGTAATGTATTTCAACTAGTAATGAGTTATTATGCTTTTTAATTCCTAGCTCTTCATTGTAAATTTTGTCTTTCTTCTTACTTTTTTTAGTTTATTTCCATAACTTATTTCCAAATGTTTCCTTTGCATTGAGTTTTGTAATGCCCTTTTTTAGCTCACCAAACGTTTAGGAGGGACAAATGAGCATCTTGTTTGTGGTTATCTCTTCTGCCCTAATCAGATATCAGCGGTGTCCAAAGCAGAGATTGTGGGGCAAATCGTTGTCTCCAGCAAGGAACATGTCCAAGTGCACAACATTTTTAAAGGATCCAGACCTTTACTGTTTACTATTAGATGTATCATAATTACTTTTCCTTTCCAGAGGTTTAGAATTTATTCAGATGTGGATGTCCCTGATCCCTTTCCTCTCTATCTTGTCTGTTTGGTAGGACCGTTGTACCTATAATGTAGTAGTGGGTGCTTTTCAACATAGCTACAGCTGGAAGGCAGAGTAAACACTTGCTCAGACATGGAGCTGCTGTTGCAAGCCAGGAGGATATGCAGAGAACGCATTCCTTTGATCATGTGCATTTATCAGTTCTGTCACTGTTTTTGAAAAGTGGTGGTAATGTATGCTGTTTAGAAGGTCTGCTTCAGTGAAAAGTTGCTCATTAGTAGTCTTCCATGGAAAACATACGTTTTGACTTTTTATGAAGCAAAAGGCACCAGGGTGTTTCAAACATTTAGAGATTTTAATTTGTATTTTCCATTTGAACTTGAAAAACTAAATATTAAATAAAGTGTTTAAAGTAATGTATGGGAAATAGTAAGAAGTTGTGAGCTTTGTCAGACATTTGCAGCTGTAATTCGTAGAAGTTTAGGTCTCAGGCACATGTTTACTCAACAACAACGAGATGCTGCCTTTGACAATACAAACATGGTTTATAATTAAAAGAAAAAGCATTAATTCAGGGTTAGAAGGATCTTTGAATGCTGATATTAGAAAATAAATTATCTCTTGCACTAATAGACCAGTGTATCTGCAATACAAAATTGCTTCCACTGGGTGGCATTGCAAAACAAGGTATGACATACAAGCTAATAATGTTTGATGCCACAAAATATGCTGGTGTCATTACTTTCTGTATTTTGCAGTTTTTTAAAGTTGCTTTGGTGTATTCAGGAAAACGTCTGAAAATTGAGGGACTGTTTGGGGGTGGCTTCTCACCCTTTTTTCTCTACCTTTCTTTTTTTTTCACCCCAGTTCTGCTTCATAGTGTTTGGTGGCAGATGTAAGACCTCTCTATACATTTAAAGTATAAGTTCATTGATAGTGTTCTTTATTGAGAGGATATATATTTTTTTTTTTTTTTGCATTGCAGACTAATAATTATAATATCCAGCTAGGGATCTTATAGTAACAGTTAGGTTAGGGATGTATTGCTTCTTCTGTTGATCCTTATGAATTACTTTGTATTTTGTGCTTTTGCTTTTAAGTAAAGCATTGTGAGTGCATATATTTTCTTTAATTATGTTTAAACTATTTTGAGTCAAATTATTCTTTTAAAGCGGGGAACTAATAGACATAAATACAATTCTCAAAAAGTAGCATAGTTTTCTTTATACTGGTCCAAAATACCCTATGTAACTAGGGTTATTGGGAAATAATATTGAAAGCTGAGATTTAGTTTATACATTCTGTATACTTGCTTTCTTCTGCTATGAATAATAGTGTATGAATCAATGTTTCTGGGTTATCGTGGTGCAGGTATATTTATCAGAAATTTGAAAGAGACCACATATTGTTCTGTTTAATAGCTTCCATTGACTGCTGCTCCTTAATTGAACCCAAACAGCCTAGTGAACTCATTGAGACTGGTGAATTAATCTGACTAAAAATCACATTTCAAAAAAAAATAGGAAAAAAAACTTAGGCTAATACAAAACAAGCAAAACAACAACAAATCAGGAAAAAACCCTGACTGAACAACCAAATAAAAACTCATAAAACTGTGTAACTGTGAGACTGAATAAGGTGATGATCTGATTGAAGTATTTCTTCTTCTCCATTTATATTAACTTGCCTTTCTCTGACTTTATTTTATTAAAAGGCTCTGTTTCTTTTCTCTTTTCTCCTTTATTTTTTTGCACTCAACTCTATTGCTTTTCTTTTTTTTTTCGAAGGACCATCAAGAAACCTTGAACTTCAAGGCTGTAGAAAAGAAGGAATGAATTTCACCCTAGTGTAGGATCTTCTATAAACTGTCTAAGCACATGGTATGTGATAGCAGATGGAAGTTGTGCACAGATTTCACTTGGTCATATATGGGTTTCAATTAAAGGAGAATGGAATAGGTTCTTTAATTGCTTCATCGTGGCAGAGCTGCACATATGTATGATATGTTCTGAAAGCAGTTGGCTACCTCATTTGAAGTGTTTCATGACAAGACAGTACACATTTGTCAGACTTCCTAGTTTAAAATCACCTTTGAATTGTATAGTTTATGACTTCTGTTTATGTGGTATTAATTACATGTTGCAATAATACAAGGGATTTGGATCTCCTATTCCTGACCTCCTTTATTATTCAGGGCTTATCAGAACTACAGTCTAGAAAACTCAAGGGCAGGGAATTCATGTTCTTCCAGATTTTATAAAGTTTCTCTCTTTACAATCAGCTAATCAATAGTTTATTGTTCCAAGAATTTTCATGAAAAGTTGTACATTTACTTTAGGAATCATCTGGTTTGGAGTATTTAGACTGTTTAGTTGCAGTTCTGACAAGAGCAACATAATTAGGGGAGTGGGAAGGGAGAAGTAGAGAAAGGAAGCCTTACCATTTCAGGTTTTTTGTGCTAAAAAATCTTTACATGTTTTGTTTCTATATGTATATTCTAATTTCATAGCCATACAGGAGGTAGATGATATGTGCTTGGTTTCACTGAAAATAATTATCCTGGATTATATTTGATTTGATCTTTAGTTGTTTACAAAAAATTCATGTCGTGTTGGGAAAAATATCTCTGTGATAAAGCTTGGTTACACAAACAACTTTAAAATGCATTTTCATAATATATTCTATTTTTTAAACAGTGTTATTTACAGTAAAATACTCTAATTAATTAAAGTAGAAATTGGAATGGGTAGCAATCTTTGCCATTAAAACAGGCGTACTTTCTTCTCACTCCTTTGTTGATATTCTAGCTTCTTTTGAATGGCCATACCTTGTGGAACAGTAATTTATTAATTGCAGAGGTACATAAATTCCTCCTGTGTAGTGAATATGAATAATGATTTCATCTGGGTGGAATTAAAACTGCTGATTTGCAAATATCAACAGTGACTAGAAGACTAATTGCTAATTATGCTGTCATTTTACAATAATTTTGTATAGCATGACTGGATTTTTTATCAATCAGGCAGTATAATCTTGCATAGTTCTCTAAAGCCACTTTTATATTAATAGCCAGTGTGTCTAATGGGGTCTGTTCTGAAACATAGAGTGATGGGCTGGTGGTTGAGTTTGTGATAGCTGTGCAGTGGCACTGATGGCACTGCCAAATGAACTGCTCTTTGCAGGAATTGGTGTTCTGACACAGTAAACTACTTCTGCTGCAGTAGGGTTGAAGAAGATGCTATAGAAGAGTAATAAGTCTGAGTGCTGCTGCAGAGAGTTGTGTGTGGTCCCTGTTATGGGGTGGGATGGAAGTGAAATACTGGAAATAGATTTTCTCTGTTTCTGAGCAGAATAGGGAAGAATGTAGAAGTTGAGAGATTAGGAACTGCACTAACTGTGAACTGAGAAGAATTAGCCTTGAGGTGCTTTCCCCATACTCTGGGCTTGAGTATTAATCATCATGGACTGACAGAGTTCACTTGTAACTTTCTAAAGGATTTTTCTTGTGTGTACTTCAAGATAGGTTCCCTGCAGGAAAGCTAAGAATCCTGGGTTGACTGTACTGGAGAATGAAATGGAGTTCTGGTCTATCTGAGACCATTTACAGAAGAATGGACTAGATCTCTGCTGATGTATTTCGAGATGTTTGGACTACAGTTGCTTCATCTCTGTATAGATATAGAATAGGAGGAAAAAGCTGCACCTAATTTAAATAAAAACCTGATTAGTCTTTGACAGATAATTCAGTTCTGATTACTGGTAGTTGAGTAGATGTTTTCTATTTGGAAAAATCTTGCTCAAGTGAATGACTGTAGGTAGCATGCTTCTTGCCTTGCAGAAGGTAGTATTCTAGTGAAAAGCCATTCTTTGCAGCCTCTTTCAATTAGGAAAACTTAGTCTGAAATTCTGATGGCATCTTGGACATTTCTGGAAATGTCAGCCTCAGTGAGAGTGCTAAGAACATGGTGGAGAGGTTGTTTGTTTGCTTTTGATTTTTTTTGTTATTTTGTTTTGTGCTTTTGTTTTTGCTTTATTTTGTAATTACTGTGAATTAACTCTGCTCTGTACTGTTTTAATCTTTTGCCTTGCAGGTGTTGGTCAGTAGTTCAGAATTTAAGACTGTGAAATTCATGTAGTTACAGGGAATATTTCTTTTGGCTGAGAGTTACTATAGAGCAGACTTTTTTCCCTTACTGTAATACAAAGTAGGTTTGACATAGTTGTTGCATGTGTGTTTCATGTGTGAGAGTTATTGATAAATTGGACCTCAACACATGCTGGTAAGAGATGGGGTGGAGGTGTACTGGGTTTGCATGGCAAGGTTTTGGTAGCAGGGGGCTCCAAGGAAAGGCTTCTGTGAGAAGCTGCTGGAAGCTTCCTCCATGTCTGACAGAGCCAGGGCCAGTGGCTCTGAGATGGAACCCACGGCGCTGGCCAAGGCCAAGCCCATCAACCATGGTAGCACCTCTGGGGTGATGTATTGGAAAAGTATAAAAAGCTGCTGCACAAGAGCTGCAGCCAGAGAGAGGAGTGAGACTGTGTGAGAGAAACCACTCTGCAGACACCAAGGTCAGAAGAAGTGGAAGGAGGTGCTCCTGGTGCCAGAGCAGAGTCCCCTGCAGCATGTGGTGAAGACCATGGTGAGACAGGTTGTTCCCCTGCAGCCCATGGAGGCCCATAGGGGAGCAGAGATCCACCTGCAGCTTGTGAAGGACCCCATGCTGGAGCAGGCTCCAGATAGGACCTGTGAACTCATGGGGAGAGGAGTCCACAGCAGGTTTGCTGGCAACACTTGCGACCACACTGTGCACTCACCCTGGTGCAGTCCTTCCTGGAGGACTGTGACCTGTGGAAGGGAGCCACTCTGGAGCAGTTTGTGAAGAACTGCTGCCTGTGGAAAGGACTCACCTTAGAGAAGTTTGTGAAGGATTGTCTCCTGTGGAAAGGACTCCATGCTGGAGCAGGCGAAGAGAACGAGGAGGAAGGAGAAGCAGAGAGGTGTGATGAGCTGACCTCAACCTCCATTCCCTGTCTCCGGTGCCACTGGAGAGGGGAGGAGGGAATGAGCAGTGGGAGTGAAGTTGAGCCATGGAAGAAGGGAGGGTTGAGGGGGACTGTGTTTTAAGATTTGGTTTTATTTCTCATTACCCTAGTCTGACTGGCAGTAAATTAAACTAATTTCCCCAGGTTGAGTCTGTTTTGCCTGTGACAGTAATAGGTGAGCAATCTTTCCTCGTGCTCATCCTCCCTCATGAGCCTTATGTTTTCTCTCTCCTTCTAGCTGAGGAGAGAAGTGATAGAGTGGCTTTAGTGGGCGCCTAGCATCCAGCCAGGGCAAACCCACCACAATAGGCCACTGTAAATGGTAATGGTGATGAGATAATCAAGGAAATGACTGCAGTGGCCTTCAGGGTAGATAACTTGCTTTCCAAGCTTATGGTGAAATTTTAAACTGTATACATAATGTATGTTTCTTCAAATAAAGCATACATATAGAATGAAATTGAAGAATTATTTTTAAATTATTAGTTTGAATTTTAAATTACTAAACTGTAAATAAATAATTGTTAAAATAGTCTTTTTCTTTTCCCTCCAGCTGTAGCAGAAGTGCAGCTTCGTGATGATCAATATACCCTTGACCACATGCGTGCTTTTGGCATGTATAATTATCTTCACCTTGATTCCTGGCACCAGGATAATGTCTACTATGTTGATCAGTTTGGAAGGGTTATGAATCTGTCAGTGACTCTGGTAAGAATAAAATCTTTTTTTTAAACCGCTGAATTGGAAAAGATGGGAGCAGAAGAGACAGAAAATATTGCAAGTAGGATCCAATTGCAAAAACTGGGTAAAGCTATTGCCAGGAAGATAGGTTGGTCAACAAAAATGCATTTCACCAGGAAGAATAAAAGGATTTTAAATGAGGTTTCTGACTTCTTTGTGTTAATAACATTGCATTAGTGTTGCAATAGTGTGTGGCATCCCACCCTTAAGGGGACAGGAGCACTCAGGAGTTGAAGATGCTTGTGGCCAAAAGAAACAGCAAAAGCCAGAGGGTTCACAAAAGCTTACAGAGTTTTTTAGTGAGTTACACATTTGGCATAGAAATGGAAATGTTAGGCCCTGACCTCCTAGTACAAACACACAGCACTGGGCTGATGGGATTTTCAGGGTCCTGGAGGTGCTGCCTGGGCTTGGTGAGGGTATCTGTTGATGGGTCAGTTTCTCCACTTGTGAAATAGGTGGCTCACTTGCTATACAAGTTAGTTATCATGTGCAGTTTGTTCTTCCCTTCTGGAAATGGGTTGGAGGGCCTAGGGGGTCTCTGGTGGTCTTGATCTCCCCCCTGCAGTCCACATCCACTTCTCCACATTATTCCAGTATGTGTGCTGTACTGTGCTGTGCTTATCTCTAGGAGCCAGAGCAAGGATGTTTGTCCCAGAGAAGTGCTGTCCTTCCTCTGTGTGGCCCCTGTCTCCAGCCACGTCCTGTTCTTTCTCACAATGTGTTTTACCCATGAACCTTGGTTGAGTCCTGCCTGTGGCTGTCACTGTTGGAGACATACACATTAGCTCTTTTGTTTTAGGCTTCTACATAGTGCTACATCTGCTTCCATTCTGGGCAAGATGGACATGACAGTGAGTTGAAGAAAAGGGAAGATGCTTCTTTTCTAGTTGCTTTTCTCTTTCTCCCTGATATTACTTGATGTTTGTTTGCTAACTTGAAAACTCAGTTGTGTATATGTTAGAATTAGAAATGCTTAATCTAGACATCATTTGTTGGAGAAAAAAGATGCTGGTGGCCGTGAAGGAACTTGAAATAGTATAAGCAAGCTAGTGCAAGTCTGAAATTTCTGCTTTTATACTGGTGGTCCTAAGTAATCAAATTTTGTATTTCTTTTTAGCCATTTTAACACATCTTTTAGTTTCCTTTAAAAATTATGCTTCATTTTAGAGAGGGAAGGACATGTTTCTATGGACACCATATTTCTGGCACATACAATTGTCATGCTTGGGCATTAAGGAAAAAAAGACTGTGTGGAAAGGAAAATATCCAATGTCATACTACCAGAGAGTTTGACTTGTAACCCTGTCAGACAAAAGAAAACACAGGGCTATGTGTGAGTTTTTGAGAACATGTTGCTTGGCCTGTGCAAGGTTCTAGGGACATAAATTACTAGGTCTACAGTAAGAACAATTCTGAAATTGTAGTTTTAGATTTTCAGGAAATACAGGATGATAGGGTGAGAACAGTTCCTTTGCTTTGAGATTTTGGCAGACTCTTACTGTGACAAAATAATATTTTAGGACTTGTTCCAAAACTTTTGAGATCATCTGGATTCGTAGTAGAAACATGTAAAAGAAAGCCTTCTCTTAACAGTGGCTTGTCACAATCTCATTTTTTGTTTTATCCTTGAGGTTGGTTAACCCTGGCTTCCTGCTGAACACCCACTCAAACACTCTCTCACTCTCCCTGTTCAACAAGATGGCGAGAAGAAATGAGAGAAAAGCTTGTGGATGAGGATAAAACCTGGGAGATCACTTACCAGTTACCATGGTGGGCAAAACAGACTTGACTTCGGGAAAAACAATTTATTGCCAATTAGAACTAGTAGGATGATAAGAAAGAAGATCACCCAAAGCTTGTACCAGGAACTGTTGTGTGGTCCATTGTGTGCTTTTCCATGGACAACAGTATGGATATCTGTTCTCTGTGGGTTTCAGGACAGCCTGCTTTTCCATGGTGTGCTCCAAGGGCTGCAGGCAAACCTGTGTTCCACAGCTGACAAGCTGAACTCTCCCCAGTGAGTGCAGTGGAACCAGCTGGAAGTGTCTGTGTGTGCACAGCACAGCCCTGGCTCCTCCTCACTGAGGCCACCCTGCCTGCACAGCACAGACACCCAATACTTTATTAGGAGGGCACTATGTGTTTCAATTTATTTCTTAGCAGATAAAGGATTTTACAATAGGCTATAAATCAACATAAGACATATTCTTCCCTAAGACCTATTTCAAGATAATGGCATTTGACTAATATCTGGTCACAAGTTTTGGGGGGAAATAAAACTGATTAAACTGTGAAATAAATAGGCACCATCTTGTGTCCTAATACGTGATCCCTGCTATTTTGCGAAGGAAACACATTTGCATATGAATAAAATGGAATATGTGTTCAGAAACATCAACAAGGTGTCTCATTACAAATGTGCCCAGCCATATATTAGTCAAATGTATATTAAAAATAAGATTGGTTTTGGCCAAGTACATCTTACAATTAAAATTAAAATCAGTCTTCTTTAAAACAGAAGATGGAACAGGGTAATGTGTTCATCCTGAAATCAGAGTGAAAGAACACACGTAGGCTTTCTAACTCATCATTATTTCTATTTTTATTTCTTATTTTGGTAGCAGCTTTGAGTCTTAATATGACAGTATGTTGGTTATCCATATATCATGAATTATCTCTACAGCTTAGGTGTTTAAAAAGATGCTATTTGTGAAGAAAAAGAAGTGCATATAACAACTTGCCACTTGCTCAAAATCACACATAATTGAAAAAAGCAAAGTGATCAACACAAGCAGTTCTTCTGTGTTGATGGATGTGTCTTCAGGTGGGTTTTTTATACCAGATTGAGGAAATTGTTACTCTAACTTAGCTGGAAATACTGTATAATGGCTTTAACCTTATGCTTTTACAGCTTTTTTCATTCAGTATGCCAGCAGCAGTCAATACATTGCTTTAAACACCCAGTGGGTAGGGAGGGGAGTGACAGGTTTACTGACTTGAGATTTTTTTAATTGGTCCTTTTTTTTTGCATCTGACTCAACTTTGTTGATTGCATGGTGTTTGTAGCATTCAAATATAGCTGCAAAATATTCAAAGTTTTCTCCCTTAGCAGTTGGATTTGGCTTCTTGACCTTAAGCTCTTCTCACAAAGACAATTTGATTTCCTTTTGTGTTCAAATAATCAATTGAAAAATTGTGGCGATAGGAACTCTTTTCACACTTAATTAAAATCCTTAATGGTATAAATATTTTTATCTTTTAATTTCAAATAAGAATTAGCTATGGAATACTGTTTCTGTAACTTTCAGTTAACTTGAATTCAGAACAACTGATAGTGGCACCAGAGACAATGTGGAAATTCTATTTGAAACAAGTCAGAATAAGAAAGCAAATAGAGAACAACAAAATCTTTCAGTATTGTGTTTCAGGGTTTTAAATACTTGCCTCTGTTATTCAGAATGCTGGGTAAGGACATTTTTTTCAGTTAAAGAGATGTTTCAAATGCCTAGGTATTTTGATTTTTCATAATAAAAACATAGTCTTGTGTTTGTTGTTTCTACTTTGTGGGAATTGCTATATAACGTTTTTTCCTTTCTTTTTTATTCCTTTGTTCTATTCTCATTCCCTGTTATTTTCTTGAAAAAATTAATTTGTAAGTCTTTAATGAAATATCTCATGTTTGTACAGTATTGTCATTAAACCCCAGTTGACATCTAAGTACAATGCAGCTGCCTGCTCACTGCTGCTCCTCCATCCTCCGTTGGATGGGAAGGAAAACCAGATAAAGGTAAAACCCACAGATTAAGATAAGAACAGTTTAACAATTTATATAAAGCAAAATTTAATAATAATAACAAAAAATTTATAGTGAAAGAAGAGAGAAACAAAACAAGGAAAAGCAAGTGTTGGACAATACAGTTGCTCACCAGTGCTGACCAATGCCTGAGCAGTGCTGAGTTGTTTTAGCCAGGTCTTGCTGGTGTAGTACATGACTACAGACTCTCACCATGTCTTCTTGCTTCTAAAGCAGGGAGTTACTGTTACCCCAGTTAACCACCTGGTGAGCAAAGAAACAGTCAAAAAGATAATCTCACACAAGGGATTGAGAGGAGGTTTTGTTTCAACTTCAAGGAAGTCCATCCTTTCCATTGTCAGAATGAGATGAGAGACTGTTCTAATAAATGCCTAAAGTTGAATTAGTGAACAGAAAGGTTGTGCATAACTTCCCTTCTTGCCTATTGAAACAAAGGCTTTGTAGTAAAGATAATTTTTCATTTTTTCAGGAGATTGAGTTCTGAAATTCCTGCTCGATGCTGATAAATCTGATGTGAGCTTTAGAAGATTAAATAGTTGATACTTTTTTATTTTAATTGCATCTGAAACTATTTGAAGCTTATTGTTGAAATTCACTTGAAGGCTCACAAAAGTGTGGTCTTCTGTAATGTTATATAGTATACCCCTGTAAGTCACTGTTAAGAGGAATGATGCTTCCTCTTGCCATGGTAAGATACACAGGATTTTGACATTTTTTTGTAGGCTCAGTAATCATTGCTAGTTACAATGGAAAACTTTCCTACTTTGTAGGGAAAAAACTGCCTTTCAGTGAAATCTAAAAGTTAAATAAAATATGAGGAAGCCGATATTCATTGTATCTAATGATTGTGTGATATTTGTTTGGGTTATGGGTTTGGTTTATTTGGGTTTTTTTCCTTTTAAATCTTTCATTCTCCCCTTCTGAATGTGTTATAAATTAGCAGAGTAGTCCAAGGGCTGTAGTGATACAGCTGACTCCAGAAACTGACCCTGAATGCTTCTAATAATTAAAAATTTGTGGGTTTTCCATTGCAGGTTTCATAATCTTCTTGTAGCACACAGTAATCTCTAATGTGAATTTAAGTAGGCCCAAAAGGCAAGCAGGCTATCTGTTTGTTATCTGGTCTTTTTTTGCCGTTGCTTATTAAACTGGTGCTTACCCAAATGCAATTTCTCTTGCCTACATTTCAGCATGTGTTAAATGCACATCTGATTTTACTAACATCTGGAAAATAGGAAGGTTTTGAAATGCCCTCCAAGGTGGGATTCTTAATAAATGAGGCCACTGCACACTTTGCATGCACAGTGTGCTCTCTCTGTATTGCATTCACGTGCCCAAGAGCAAAGGACTCTTTTGGAGACAGTCCTGGAGACAGTCCTTTGTATGTATATTTTTGACTGTCTTATTTCACAGAGCAGAATGACTAAGTTTCTTTTGCTAGAAGTAAGTTATTCCCTCCAAGCTATTGATTGAGTGAAAATAGAAGGACAAGATGTTTAAATGATTTGTGGCTGAATATTCGAGGTCTGTAATGAGACACAGTTTTTATTTTGAATGTTTTCATTATTTCTTAGTCTCATGCCTTACTATGTTAAGGATGGGCCTGAGACTAAGAAACATTTTGTGTCACAGAATCAGTAATTACTTGTTTCCCACTCAGGTTATCAATACAAAAATATCCTTCTCTTTGTGCTTCCTTTTACATACTTGTCAGTATCTTCAAAACTGTCCCTGTAATATCTTTCAAATTTTGTTTATCTGTTTCTACAAATACATTTCTTTGTAAACATATTTTCATTAGTGACAGCAATGCTGATTTTTAGTAATAAGGGAAGAATTTCCCTCTTGTTAAACAGGTTTCTGACTTGTGGATCTTCAGAAGTAATTGTAGATCAACTGACTGGAAATGAGCCTAGTAAAATAAAAAAATAATTTCATTGGCTCTATAGCAATTTTTTATGTTCTCAACGTGGTCTATTTGCTGTTGGATTAAGAAGATAGGTTGGGTGTAAAAAAGGGTGATCTCTAAAGGTCAGTCAGTACATCTTTTTTCAGAAATAATTTTATTGTTCAAATACATGTAGATACATTAGCTTATAAAATACCTGTGAAACCATTGTGTCTAATTTTGTTTCATGTATGATACAAACCCTCTGTGAAATTAGGGGAAATGACCATAACTTCCTGAGAAATGTTTCTCCAAAAATACAGAGAAGAACAGGAATTGCTTTTCTTTGTAATTACTGGAAGACCTCTTTGAAGACTGCAAATCAGATTCTGCAATCTATGAATCTGTAAGAGGGATAAGGTGGTAAATATTTTGTGGGTTTGGATTTTTTTAATTTTTTTTTGTTTATTTTAGAATCATAGAACAGCACAGATGAAGGGATCTCAAAAGATCATATAGTCCAAGCTTTCATGGCAAAAGGAGCCTAGATGAGGCTATCTAGCACTGTCCAGTTCTGTCCTGAAAACCTCCAGTGATGGAGTTTTTGCCATGTCCCTGGAGAGGTTGTTCGCATTGATTGTTCTCATAGTAAAAATTTCTCTTATGTCTGGATGAAACCTCACCTATTGCAACTATTAGCTGTTGTCCCTTGTCTGCTCTACATGACCTCTTGTGAAGAGAGAGCCCCTGATCTCTTTGTGGCTGCCCTGGAACACTGTGATGAGTTCTCCCCTGAATCTTCCCCAGGGAGACAGGCCTGACTCCTTCAGTCTTCTCACACGAGGGAATTCTCCAGTCATTTGGTGGTGTTCTTGGCTGTCCTCTGCACCTTTTCCAATCTTTCCATGTCTTCTTTAAACATTGCTTCAGGTGGGGCCTGACAGCCACTGGGTAGGGTGGGATGATCACATCTCTTCTCTCTGCTAGTGATACTTCTGCAGATGCAGCCCAGAGTCCAATTTACCTTTGGTGCTGCAGCATTGCACTGCTCACTCATGGTCAGCTTGTTACTCCTGTTGCCCTCAGGTCCTCTTCATCAGGGCTTCTCCCTGCCACACAGATCCTGGCCTGTTCTCAGCTCTCTGGTTGTTCCATTCTAGGTGCAGGACTGTGCTTGTCTGCTTATTTTCCCAGTGTTCTTGCTGCCCCATTCTTCCAGGCTCTCTGTGCCACATGGCTTTCCCTTGTAGGTACACGTCCATTTTATCCCCTGGTTTTGTATCATCAGCAAATGTGGTGAGAGTGCTTTCAGTCCTATCATCCAGGTACCTTATGAAGATGTTCAGTGCATGGGGCCTGGTATCAATCCCTGAAGGACCCCACTTGTGACAGATTGCCAGCCCATTTTATTAAACAGCTTCTTAGTTCACTTGAAAAACTTCAAATTATTAAGTTCTATTTCAGTTACTTAAAAGATTATAGAGATGTGACTGAGATGTTGCTGAATCTCCAATTGCATCTTATGTTTTTCTGTGAGAATATTTTGTTAGTGCTTTAAATACTGCAGCCTGAGCTACTTCATAAGTAGCTGATCAAGCTGTCTGTTTTTTAAACTGTGATGCCAAATTCTTTTCAAATCATAAAGATTTTGTTAGTGTTTTCTTTTAACCTAACATGCCTCTGGAGTATTCAGAGATTACTTCAACACAAAAGATTGAGGTAAATCTTAGTACTAAGCAGACAGCAGCATGGCTGACTTTTCATGAGCCAAATAGTGAGTAGAAAGTCAGTCACAAAGCCTTATTCAGCAAAGAAAGAGCTGTATGTGAGAGTGAAAGCAGAGGATAAAGAATAATCCCTAAAAGATATGCTGGAAGACATGCCGCTGTACTTAATGAAAACAGTTGGAAATAAAATTTTCAGCATGAAAGCAGGTTTTTTTCTGTTAGAATTAGTAGGAAATTAAGAACACAACACAGAACTGAAGCAGGACTTATGGGAACTACTAGAAACATAGATGGAATTGTTAATCTAACATCCATTTTGCACTGTCACTGGATCAAGCTGATTTGTAAGTTAATAGTGTAGGAAATAATGTTTTTCATTTTTTTGTAAATATAGTGGTATGCATAATTTTTAAAAAATCTGTACATTGTTCACTGAAGAATTTTATTGTTTGTGCAATTTGTTCACCATAGTGTCTGTTTATTTCTACTCAAAAGCTGTCTGTAGTTCAGCTTAAAAAGGATTGCAGTGAGGCACTGCAACAGGATGCTAAATAAACTTCTCCTGACGTGTAGTAGAATCATAGAATTATTTCGGTTGAAAAAGCCTTTTAGGATCATTGAGTCCCACCAGTCACCCAGTACTGCTAAGTCCATCACTAAACTGTGTCCCTAAGTGCTGTATCCACACATCTTTGAAATATATCCATTGATGGTGACTGTACCAACTACCCTGGGCAGCCTGTTTCAGGGTTGTTTCCCTCTGGTGAGGAAATTTTTCTTAATATCATCTAAGCCTCTCCTGGAGCTACTTGAGGCTATTTCCTTTTGTCCTGTCACTAGTTATTAGTGAGAAGAGACCAACCTTCACCTGGCTACAACCTCCTTTCAGATAGTTGTAGAGAAACATAAGGTCCCCCCAAGCCTCCTTTTCTCCAGGCAAAACAACCCCAGCTCCCTGAGCTGCTCTGCTCCTCACAGGACTAGTGCTCCAGACCCTTCCCCAGCTCCCTTGCCCATCTCTGGACTCACTTCAGCCCCTCAGTGTGTTTCTTATAGTGAGGGATCCAAACCTGAACTCAGGACCTGAGGTGCAGCCTCACCAGTGCCCAGTATAGAGAGACAGCAACTTCTCTAATCCTGCTGGCCACACTATTTCTGATACAGGCCAGGATGCCATTGGCCTTCTTGGCCACCTGGGCATGCACTGGCTCATGTTCAGCCATTGTTGACCAGCACTCCTGGTCCTTTTCCACTGGGCAGCTTTCCAGCCATTCTGCCCCCAGCCTCTGGTGTTGTCTGGGGTTGTGACTCAAGGGCAGGGCCCAGCACTTTTCCATATTAAACCTCATACAATTGGCCTTGGCCCATCAATCCAGCCTGTCTAGACCCGTCTGCAGAGCTTTCCTACCCTCCAGCAGACCAACACTCCTGCTTAGCTTTCACAAACTGACTGAGGGTAAATTTACAAATTTTAAGTACTATTTTGAGTACAATTCTGTGGCTTTCTTTTTCTCCACGTTTTTCCTGGGACTTGAATTATTTGAGGTAAGTGATTATTCTATAGAAATGCTAGGGGAAAATAAAAGCCTTTACTAATGCAAAATATAATTACTGCTTAAAATTGCAGAAAAAAGTGCTGAAGTATCAGTTAGGAAACATAGAAACCAGTTTGATGAATTTCCACCACCTTTTCCACATCTGTGGGAATTATGCTTGCTACCCACTTTTTTCCAAATATTCTCAATGATACACAAAACTGGTACATTGCTACTGAGGTTTATCATTCTTAATTTGCCTGTAATATTTACTGAAATTAATAAATACTTCATAAAGTCTTAGATCATGACTGTTTTTTATAGGACACTGCTCTACAAAAACCAAGAGAAGTTTTCAGGCTACCTACAGACTTGACTGCGTGTGATAATCGCCTTTGTGCCTCAATGCATTTCTCATCCTCCACGTGGGTTACCCTTTCTGATGGTACAGGAAGACTGTATTTAATTAAATCAGGCAAGCGTGGAAACAGTGCATCTGAAAAGTGGGAGGTATGTCCTGCAATAATGTATTTAGGAGTTGTACACATATCCCTGTCAAAGTGATCTAACTGCATTAATAATGGTATTCGTTATCCTCCTTGGACACAACAAATATGATTGTTGCATTTCTACCTGAAGCTGTGAGTCTCATGTTCTGTGGTTAGTTCCTCTTTGTTCATGAGAGATGAGTCTGGTAAAAAGTGCCTGTATTTTGCATCTCTTGTCTTTATTAGATGGTAGTTTCCTAAGAAACCACAGATGTTTTAGTATTGGCAGAAATATAGGTGTATATACTGTAGTGGAAGATTTCAATATGATGGATTAGCTCCTTTCTATACATCTTTTGAGAGTTCAGTAAAGGAAATTGATCATCCTGTTTATAGATGCTTGGTAATAAATACCATCTGATTTTTATTCTGTTCTGTGTAAGAATGCTGACACATAAATAAGTAATACTGAAATTGTTAGGGTCATGAAAATACAAGATTTATATCTAAGGTTTTGTCACCATTTAAATTGTCTTGTTGAGTATGTACAGCACCCAGTAGTTTAGAGTTGTGTTAATATCACAACCTTATAAATCCTCAAACTTTAGGTTTCTATCAGTTTTCTACCTGAAACTATCAAGTTTCAGTAATAACAGCTGCATTGAGTCTATATTCATTCAACCGCTGCAGCTTGAATTCTTTGTAACTTATTCTTCCATTTGTGCTTGCATTTTCACATGTTAATCTTCTAGCAAATAACATTTCTTCTCTGTTGTTCAGATTAATTTTGTTTTTATTTTCATTCTTTTGCTGAATGAGTACTTTTTGAAAAAAGCTGGAATATGGTTTTTAGAATTAAAACTTTCAGCTATAAGTACCAAATGTCTTATGCTATAAGATATGGAGTCTTTCTATATGAAATTAATGAAATCATTTTCATATAATATAAATTTTCATGAATTAATGAATTTTATAACTTTAAGTTCATAATTAATGTCATTTTATATTCACAGTGGTGCTTATTAGCCTTTCAATATGTCAGTAATAGTTATGTATCCTACCTACTTAGACTACACATCCAAATATTGGATGGACTTTCCCAATCCACGTACATAAATAAAAATTCAAGAACTTCTAACCCTAGCTTCTCCTAAGCATGAATATTATTCTCCTTCATTTCATTATAACTTTTTGTTTCTTACATCGTGGAGGAAGAAAATGGGATCTCTTTGTAAAGCTAATAATAGCATGTTTGATGATTGAGCACTGATAGTGATGCTTTGGATCTTTATGTCTTCCTGTTTGCATATATCAAGGTCTACAAAGATTTTTATAATGTTGAAGTGTCTAGAGAACTAGTGAAGGCCTTGGCGAAATGCCTGCATTTTCATCTTGAATGTGACTGCCCAGTTGACAGTCAGTGTTTATGAACCCTGTTGTCATCAGTTGCTGTACCTCTATTGCAGTGCTAAACAGCCACAATACAGACAGATTTGAGGATCTTTGTGCTTTGTTTAATGGGCTCTTACAATAATTGTTTAATCTAAACAACAATGTTTAAAAACTTTTCAGTACAGTAGCTTGAAAGCCACAGAAGGAGGAACCAGAAATGTGTGACATTTGTGGGTTCATATTGGCAGAGATTTGTGGGAGACAAACTGTTACTGATTTGAGATTCACTGAAACCCTTTCCTGCTTTCTGTAAGAGAGAGAGGCTTCCAGCTTTAACTGTCTGACTTTTTATTACATTTTTGTCTTCTAGATTGTGTTTAATGAAGAACTAGGAAGTCCCTTTATTGTAGCACACAGTATTTCATTTATAAAATCTGATGCACATTCACTAGCTGTGCTGCTGCTTAGGGTTGAAAAAGATGACCTGGATACAAAAGGAAGTGGATTTCATGTTACCTTGGAATGGGTTACAGTTGCAGAAAGAAAAGAGGGTAAGTGTTTTACATTTATATTACTGGTGAGTAATGTTTAAAAAAAAAAACCCATGGTTTTTATTCTCTGTCTTAGAAGTTATTTTTCCACATGTTCTGGTATTTCTTTTCCTTAGCTTAGATTTTCCATAGGTAATTTTTTCTTTTATTTTGAGATCAGGTTATTGGTTATAAACCTAAATTTTGACAGACGTTTGGAAAACAGGAAGAAGTAAAGTTTTGCAATTGTGTCATTAAGACAATTAGAAAACATGATAGCACTTTACTTGAATGTTATGAAATGCAATTTCTGTTTAGCTTGGTCTTGTAAAATTGAGATTATATGGAACTATTTCTAACTAATGTCTGTTGTATTTTTTATGTATTGTACAGCTGGATATGGGTCTTTGGTTATGTTTTTTTGTTGTTGCTTTTTTTAGCTTCCAATTAATGATGTAGTGGGATTGGAAGTAGTATGAGATAAATGTAAAACCTATGGCATAAAAAGTATATACCGCATATTCTCGGTTTTCCTGTAATAAGAATATTAAGTTATTCCATCAATTTTAGACCAACACATGGGAAACATATTAGTTAGTATATTAATACCTTTCAATTAATATTTTATCCTAATAAAGTTTGACAAATTATACTTTATATATTCAGTATGACCATATATATGTACATTAAATATGATTTACATAAAGGATACAAAACCCCATGCATCAATGTCTAATTTAAAGAGTCTGTGGATTAAATTAATAGAACTTCTTGGAATAACTGTGATATGGTCTTGCTCATTATGTTCCAGGAAATAAAATTTTGATACTGATAGAAACAAGATCTTTAACTAGTTGAACTAAAGCAGTTGAGGCATACTGTGATGTTACTGTTCTTCCATCTCCTACATATACAGTATGAATAGGATAACATAGAATAGAATAGTTCTCTTGGAAGCCAGTTCCAGTGTTTAACCACCCTCTCAGGAAATAAATGCTTCCTAATGTCCAGTCTGAACTTCATCTGGTGCAGCTTTGAGCCATTCCCACATGTTCTGTTACTGGATACCAAGAGGAGCTCAGCATTTCTATCTCCACTTCCCCTCCCTGGGAAGATTAAACAGCAATGAGGTTGCCCCTCAGCCTCATTTTCTCCAAACTGGACAAGCCTGCAGTCCTCACCTAGTCTTGATAGGACATTCCTTCCAGCCCTTTCACCAGCTGTGTTCCCTTCACTAGTTATGTTTTCTGCTGTTGAAACCTTGGATGATGGAAATATTTCTCAGAAAGCCACAAGACCAACTGCCTTATGTTTTGTGCCCAGCTCAACAAGAGAAAGAAACCTCTGAACAGTACTGTTTATAACTTAGAAGAAAAGCTAAATCAGTAACACTGCCGCTCTAAAGCTGACGACTGTTAGTCGTGAGAGGACCAACACAGGCTTTCATTATATTTTTTTAATATTGTACACTTTCATTAAAAACTCTTTTTATATTGTATGTTTTATAACTTATGACAAATATTCTTGGAATCCCTATAAGTGCATTTAGAAATCTTTCCGAAAGTCTGGCCAGTTCTCCAGCATTTCCAGGGAATAGAAAATTTGTGAAATTACTGTCAGCCGAGATGCAAATAACAAAATTCAGAGCAATCTTTAATTATGAAGAGAGAAATAAATTCTGATTTCATTTAAACAAAATCTCACAAATCAGACTGATGTATGAACCAGTCTAAAAGATAAAAGCTGTTTTGAGGTATTACAATACTTTACAATCTCTTTCATCAGTAGACAATTGCTGTTGCTTGCTTTTCCTTGAAACTCTGTGGATGCAGTTTATCAAGTCAGATTCTAGTAAAAGTAAGTAGTTAATTAGCAAGCCATTTCTTAAATTCCCCAAATCTGTGCTTCATCAAAGCAAAGCCTTAAACATGGTTATGTCTCTTGACACCAACAAATGTGAGATCTCTGCCCTGTTTGGCAGACTGGACAAAGGGATCACACTCACCACTGTTGTGTTACCAAAGAACAAAAAATAGAAGTATGAAAATAAATCAGAATGGGGGCAGTGGTTAGGTCTTTTCATATCTTCCCTGCTACTTCAGAGGACTGTAACAAAGATTTACCCTTTCAAAGTTGGTTTTCTTTCATTAACCAAACTTTCAGGAATACTTGCTGTAAAAGCTTGAAATGAGGAACCACCATGCTGCCTTATGAGATTCACAAAATGTGACATGCTTAGCTTTCTCCTGACCTTCTCTACAAGAAAAAAATTATTTATAGAGGCTGTGCTGGGCTAGCTGTGCTCAGCAAAGACATAGTGAGAATAAAAGACAGTCTTAGATCAATCCAGTATAACTCATTGGAAAATCATGGTACTGTGATTGAACAGGTCGGATTGCATAGTATTCTTAAATGTAATGAGTTCTTTAGATAATAATTTGTCTTCTAGAAATATGACTTTTAAAAAATTTTATTTTATAGGTGATCATACATACGAAATCATTAAAAGGAGAGTTTTGCAAGGAAAATCAGTCCCCCATTATGCAGCAATAGAGCCAAGTGGTGATGGTCTAATGATTGTTTCCCACAAACCATTCACATTTATGCAAAGTGAAAGTGACAAATTAGAAGAAAATGATGATGCAAAAGTATCAAATGAAAGGAAAGGTAAGAGTCTGACAGGTTATGATAGGCTGCTTTCTTGTTTGACTTGGGAGATATCTTGTTAGTTTAGCATTTGTTTGGAAACTCTAGCAATATTTTATATCTATCTTATGGACAGATTGACTTTTATTTGTTTGCCTTTACTGTTGGAAGTTGTATTGTGCATAAACCTATATTAGGTGCTTTTTTTTGATAGGATACACTTAAAGAATTTTTTTGTTTTAAGAAAAAGGTTATTTTGCAGACAGAGGTATATTAAGTTTTTGTATTAGTTGGATTGCTAATGCCTAAATTTAGGCATCTGTCTGAAGTACTCAGATTAAGAAACCAGTCTTCCTAGATGGGAGTCATTGACCTCCCCAGGCTGTTATTCATCACAAAGCTTTTTGATATGTAATTTATTCCTGCCTTTTTAAAATTTAAATAATTGTTTTGAAAGAATGAGACTACTGTAAAAGATTCTCTTTTTTCCAATGGGAATGCAGTTCAGAAAAACGTTGACAAAATGCATTCATACTTTTTTTTCTTTGCAATCAAAACAAAACTAAGTATGTAAAAACCAATTAATAGAGATGTTTATTCCTAAGTATCACTAAGCTCTGTAATGTCTATGTTTATGTAATTATGTTGGATTATTCTGTTTCTGCATATGAGACATTGGTTGGTGAACAAATTCTAACTGAAGGATAATAGCACAATCTTTGTCAATAGTGTGAAAATCTATTTGGAAAACAATACAAAAGGATCAAATTAATACATTCTGGAATATATTAATGTTAAATACTGTGGCAATGTGATATCGTACATGTAATTTTATTAAGAGTAGTCTGTGCATATAAACTAGAGGTAAAGGAGTTCTTCAGTACACTGAGCACCATAATGCAGTTGCCTTTTGCTAAACCTAATGTAGGCTTTAGTTTTATTTGCACAGTTTATATAAATTGCAGGCATAATGGACTCAATATCAGATACAGTTTGTGTCAGTTTTTAGAATTTTGAAGGCTGTCATGTCTCAGGTAGTAATAGTTTCTGGGGAAGTATAATTCTTGCACCTGTGACTGATCCATTGCAACCAGGGCAGCTGTGGCAAAGGGGAACAGTGCAAGAGTCCTTCCAGAGTCACAGTTGCTGGTATGAGGCATTGATCAGTGGAATATTAGGTTGGGTTTTGACAACTTGAGAGCTTTCAAGGGGAACCCATATATTACCTTTTCTCAACATAGAGAGGTAACTTGTACAAGATTGCTCTTTAGAAAATATGTTCATCTGTATTTGTATTTTCTGTGCATTACCCACTCTTGCTGTCATAGCCTTCCTTCTGTATAAACATTTTTCTTAAAAAGCCATTTCTTCTAGCAGTTTAATAATCAGACAGATTGTAGACACAGTAGAAAAAGTCAATCACTACCTTTGGGCAAGCAGTTTTATTTCATCTCCATTAGCTGAGGCAGAGTAAGATTACTTAGTCTTATAAAATCATGTCTGTTGAGTAGTCAGCATAGCTTCTGGCAAAATGTATAAGAAAAAAGCGTTCACATCTCTGAATGGCTTCTAGCCATGCAGTAGTTTGTCACAGAATCACTAGGTTGGAAGAGATCTTCAAGATGATCAAGTCCAACCCATGCCCTAACACCTCAACTAAACCATGGCCAAATGCCATGACCAGGTGCCACATCCAATCTTTTTTTAAACACATGCAGAGATGGTGACTCCACCACCTCCCCAGGCAGACAATTCCAGTACTTGATCACTCTTTCCATAAAAAACGTTTTCCTAATATCCAACCTATATCTCCCTTGGTACAGCTTAAGGCTGTGTCCTCTTGTTCAGTCAGTTGCTGCCTGGAGAAAGAGACCAACCCTCACTTGACTACAGCCACCTTTCAGGAAGTTGTAGAGAGATAAGGTCACCTGTGAGTTTCCTTTTCTCCAGGCTAAACAACCCCAGCTTTCTCAGACATTCTTCACAGGGTTTGTGTTCCAAGCCCCTCACCAGCCTCGTTGCCTCCTCTGGATGCACTCAAGTACCACAGTATACTGCACCTGATGTCTCCTTAACCAAATTATTAATCATTAATGTTTTACTGTATTTAAGTACATTTTGCATTCCAATTTCATAATGTTACAATAGATTTAAGAGTAATAATTAATGCCTGTTGTGTTGTCTATCAGCATATTTGATTATATACATGAATATAAATTACTTTCAAAATGAGGGACACAAATAAATTTGATTACTAAAGAGGTGTTTCTCCATTTTATGATCAGAATATATTTTGTGTAAATTTTTCAGAGTAAAAGTTAATTTCGACTCTTTCAAAAGGTTTCAGAAAACTCCAGATGTCTCAGCATTGAATGCTGTGGAATCCAGTAATCCTTGTAACCTAGTTTGTATTTTGCTGAATGTTTCCAATTGCAGACCCTCTCTACTACTGGCAGCAGACTGAAGATGATCTGACTATAACAATTCACCTGCCTCAAGACATCACAAAAGATGACATAAAAATACGTTTTTCCCCTGATAATATATGTGTTACACTAAAAGACCAGCCTCCTTTGATGGAAGGAAAGCTCTATTCATCTGTGGACCATGAAAGCTGCACGTGGGTAATTAAAGAGGACAAAAGGTATTGTATATATTTTTTAGGTTTTTTTATTGATAGGAACTGATTTCAAAACATATACCAGACTTTTGGCCCTTCTGGGATGGTCTTGTTTAGTACTACACTCCATGTCCATTCTTGCAAGAATGTCTCCTCTCCTGAAAACAGTTCACTGTTTTTGCTGTCTCAGTACTGTTTCTTTATTATCTAATTGTGAGAGTAATCCCTTCCTTTTGCAGTTATTCTCCAGGAAAAAACCCCACCCAATATAAAAGTGTTAAACATACATTTGTAAGAAGAGTAAACTCAATTAGTTCAGCAATTATTTTTTTCACTGTTTCAATATTGATTAGTCTGAATGTACCTTGTTGTTTGTGTTAGTTTCTCTTCTACTTTCTGCAAACAAGCATTTAAGTAATAATACAATGTAAATTCTTTAGGCTTGACTTATAAATTCCTTAATATATTTTCCTAAAAAAATTAATGTGCATTGTAGAAAATGAATCTGTGTGAACTTAACATATTGTAGACCTCAAATAGAAATGTTCCTGCTTTTATTTGAGAAGTAACTTTTAGATGCTTTTCTCATTCTGAAATAAAAATATGAAAGAATGGAGGGGGTGCAAAAAAAATTCAGAGCTCCCTAAAACAGAGTCAGATTTTCCTTTGTGCATTGTGTAATTTTCATACTCTGCCTGGGCTGAACCATGTTTTCACTGACCCACTCTGGTCTAGTTTTCTCGGGGATATTCACACCTTTAATGAACTCAGGAAGAAACATGTACACCACCAGGTGATCCACTCAACGGCTCATAGCTATTTATCTAAAAGAAAGGCTACCTTTCAAGCTGTGATAAGGTTGGCTTTTTACAGTTTCCAAAAGGTTACCTGTAAAGCAGAGTAATTCTAAAAAAAAAAAAAAAAAATTAGAGGGACTAATATTTTTATATAGATTAAACTATCACTGTATATGAAAATTTGACTGTGATTAGAATGTGTTGGGTTGTTGGTTTGTAGGTATCATGCTGAAAAATAACTCAGCTTAATAACTTGTTTTTTTTAATTACTCATTCAAATGAGTTTATTTCATGAATCTCAGCCTTCTACTTTAATGAGAAAGAGTAATTCCATATTTCAATGTAGTAAGCTGCACTCAGTTCCTAATGTTCATACTGCAGTGCTGCTATAAATCTATTGATTAAAAGTCAAAAATTTGCTCCAAATGTCTTCTGTAAAAGTATGGTTTTCCTTATACCAGTGTAATTGCTTCAGAAACTGATTCAGAGTTCACTAAATAGTTGGTGCTATGGTGCAGTAGTTAGTAACTTAGAGGATTTTCTGTCGGGAACACTACAGCTGTCATTGCTGGAGAATATGGAAGTGTGTGTAAGAAGCGAGTATAATAAAACTGACTTCAGTTTTATCTTATATCTATGTGTTTGTCCAACACAGTATTTAAATGGAATTACTATGTTGGTGCATTGGGCAGTGTCTTATTTTTCATTTAGTTAATTAGTTATTCCTAATAGTTTAGTGATTATACTGGGTTCTGTTTGTTTTGTGTTGTTTTTTTTTTTTTTCACATGTTATGGAAATACTGTCTCTTCTGAGATATGGTTTTAGATAGGTAGTATACACAATTAATTGGTGCAGTATTTCTGAGGTCTATAAAATACAAATATTTTTGTCCCAGATGTTACGTAGAGGTAGGGCACACTTAAGTAGCCCTAAGAACTACCACTTATGTTTCAAGTAAACCTCTGTAGTAAAATTTTGAGAGTCTTTGAATAGATTACTTTACAAGTGGTTTCCTGCCATATTTGAAATATTTTAATGAGACTACTTCAGGGTAAAATACACTTATATTGAAAACCCTGAAGTTTGTGTATTAGAAATCACATCTTTGGGCTGTTTTTCTTCAGAATATTTTTTGTTAGAATAGTTTATTTTATAATTTGAATACTAATAGTTTCTGTTATGTGATTTTCATTATTAATTCAGTTTGAAGAGAAGTGTTCTTACCTACATTTAGAGCTTTTTGATGAATCTGACAAATGGATGTAGTGTTTTCATGTGCTACTCTTTGTCTTCTCTTTGCATTTTAGCTTGGAAATTTCTCTGATTAAGAAAAATGAGGGATTCCGGTGGCCAGAGCTAATTATTGGTGACACAAGAGGGGAATTCATTATGGACCCTTCCCAATGCTCTGAAATAGCTGAAAGCCTGATGCATCTTACTTCTGAAGTAATGGTAAAGAGTAAAGAATCAAACACTCACAGTTTTTGTATTTTTGCATGTTGTTTTTTCTTGATACTCTAATTTGCACTGCATTGACCCAGCTCATCAGTTCATTTACTATTCATTCATTTTTAATTGAAACTGCAACAAACTAATGGCACTAGAGTTGTGAATGTACTTTGAAGAGTAAAATCATCTTCAACAGAGACTGAATTTAACTTATATGATGGTGTCTGTGCACCAAACACAAGCCTGATTTAACATTGAAAATAAACTTTGTTCCCACCATTTAGGATGTGGCAGTTTGTTTCAAAGCAATTAATTAAATGATTTTGAAAGATGTCTGTTTCTTGTTTATCAGTAGGTTAGCAAAACTTTTATACTGTCTTCCTAGGGATACTGTACTTGACATACACACTGAGTGTAAATGACATGTTTGAAAGGAAAACTTAGGAAACTGAAAACATGACTCATGAACTTCCTGGTATTTTTGTTATGAAGGAAGTCTACTTAAAGTTAAACATGATTTTTAGATGCTATTTACTTGATACTTGATTTAATTAGAAAATGGCATCTCATTTGAAACCTGTGAAGTGTTCCTCCCTGTGGCTTTTGATATATTTGGTGTAGATTATTACTTTGTTATTAATAAGGCTGAAAAGTTATTAAAATAAATTCTATATAGTACTCCAAATCCAAATTTATTTCTCTCCTCTCTCCCTCAGTATTTGTGAGCAAGATATTGTGCTATATCTTGTGACCATAGATTTGGAACTTCAAAATTATTTTCTTTTGTACTTCATACTGAGCTTAAAGTGATGATTTTTTAATCATAACTTTTCATTAATTTTAAATAGATTTTAATAAATTAAAGTTATTATTAGCAAAACTAAAATGTGTCTTGTGTTTAGAGCTGCTTATAAAATGAATTAATTAATTTTTTAAATAGCATTACTGATGGCAAGCTGAAACAGTCTTATACTGATGTACATTTACTAAATTTGCATATGTTTTCAGGACTGGATGCTTTTGATACTTAGAGAAGGGAATTTATTGTCCATGTTTTAGTGGCTTACGTACCTTTCCTCAAACTGAAATTGATTTTATTGCACCTACAACTTCTGCTGTCCTCCACAGCAGAAATTGTTCTATTAATTTTAAGTAAGTACATAATAGCTTAATCTTTCAGTATGTATGGATATGCAAATAATTCTTCATGTTCAATTGTTCTTTAGTTGTTGTTTTATTTTGTTTTGTTTTTTAATCATTTTTTTTAGTAGTTTTGATTTTCAGTGTAGTTAATTCTTTTTATTTTTCAGAATCCAAACCCCGAAAAGGAAAACCCACCTTGTAATGCTCAAGAGTTAGAAGAATGTGATGCTTTTCTTGAAGACGGTGCAAGCTTGTGCAGATTTGATGGCAATACCTTGAAAGTCACTCATATAGTAAGTACTGCAAATTATTACAGAAATACTTAAAAACATTTTTTGTTTGGACTTTGACCTCTATTATCAGTACAGAAATCTGTTCTGACTGTTGAAATCACATAAATTTCTCCCACAATATCAAATCACAGTAGCAACAGAAATTGTCAATCCATATGTGTCCTTCAGTGTCATTTTAATATAAAAACAAAGATCCTTTTGTTCTGATTCAAAAAAATACATATGCTTTCACAAGTGAGCCATTTGAAAAAACAAAGTTATATCAAAGTAATTATAAGAAAAAGATCTTTTTCAGTGGCATAAAATTCTTTAGATGACTTAGTTTGCTTTTTCTTCAGTAATTTTTCAGACAGCCTGGTAGAAACCTGATCTTTTTTACTAAGAAGCTGGAGTATAGATAATAGTTCTTTGTCAATCACATTGCAAATAACAAGACTGGGGGCAAAATGCTTCAATAGTGGGCTTGATCTGGGTTATAAGCAACCCTGACTAACAGATTCAATCTGGGCTGTTGCCTAGAGTTGGAAACAACAAAATCATAGAAAAACATTACAGATTAACTCGTTCTTGTGTTTGTTTGTTTTTTTTAATTGGATGAAAGCAAAAACTACGTCGTGGTTGTAGCATGGTTTGGGTTGCCTAGTAAGTTGTGCAACCTCTGTCCTTGAGATTTTCAAGGCCAGACTGGATAAAGTCCTAAATAACTCAGCCTAAACTACTTCTTCTCACACTGAAGGGTAAGAAATGCCCCAGAAGCATTTCACAGATCAGGAGGAACATGAGCTCATGGGATCACAAAAGGCTGCTTTCTAGCAGGCAGCAAGATATTGTGGAGCAATTTTGAACTGCAAGGTGCTTGTAAAGAGTTCCTAAAATGGGTAGCATAAAAGTCATTCAAAGGTTAATGTGTTTAAAGCATTATGGTCAAAGGACAGTTACTGTGGGTAGGAAATACTAATTTCAACCTTTTCTTTGGGAACTTGTGGTACTGGTCCTTATGTAGAAATTTGAATATTTCAGTATATTTTTCAGCATACAGGAATATATTTTCACTTTGATTTAGTTATTCTTTCAAGTTGTTTGGGGTTTCTTGTTAGCAATTATGGGGCCTTTTCCTTTAGAAATGGGGCTTTTTACCCACAACTCCTACAAACATTTTTATTGAAGAATCTGAAATTTAGTAATTACTTGATTGTGAGTAAATTAGAAAATGTTGGCATTTCATAATTTTAGTATTCCAACTAATCCTTGCTTCACTGTTTGTCAACTTTTACCTAAGAGGGACAGTATTTCCTTCCCTGTTAGCCCTGCAGAAAACCAGATGTGATTACTTAGAGAGAATCTTTTCCTAAGGAGAAGTTATAGGTTAGGATATATGCTAGAAAACAATTTCTGCACAAAACACACTCCCATTTGCTTGTGTAGTGGACATAATGTTTCTCTGAATATTACTCCAACAACCTTAATTGCATCTCCTTGAAATGTGTAAGGCACCTGTGGTGTATTGAGCTGATCAACAGCATAATGTATTCAAACATTTTGTCAAGTAACAAACATAAAACTGTTGATCATCTAACTTTGGCAGTATGTGTAACAGAATCTGCTTTCTGTGCTTCGAATATTTTGTATTTGTTTTGTTTTCAGATTAATCTTGGAAGCAACCAGTATCTTTTCTCAGTTGTTGTGAATCCCAAAGAAATGCCATGCTTCTGCCTGAGGCATGATGTTGATGCTCTTCTCTGGCAGCCTCACTCTGACCAACCAGAGAATATGTGGGAACACATTGCAACTTTCAATGCTTTAGGTAAGATGTCCCAAACCTCTGAGACTTTTCTATCTGAATAGTTCTGATATGGCTCATGTTGATATTTCATTTACTTAAATCTGAATTGAAAGTTATTATAATTCTGTTGATAGCAGCATGGTAGCTTAATTTTGGAAACCATAGAATATAGAAATGAAATGTTTTTGCCCTGGGAGGAAAACAAGTCTTTTCAGACCATGTATAGGATGTAAGCACAGAACTACATAGTAAAAAGGAGAGTTCCTTGGATAAGTGACCTTAAGTTAGAGACTGAAAAGCGTAATCACCACCTTAACACTCACATAGACATTGTCAGGGCAATAGCTGCAGTTAATTGATTATATGCCTAGGTGTGTGTAATCTTATGCTAAGGTATTTTAATAAATGACCTTTAGATTTTTCCTGTCTTGTTGACCCATGTGATAACCATTGGCATGCATTTTTCAAGGGAAGTGAAGAAAATAACCTTGCAGAAAGATGGTAGATCACTTTGCAGAGATTCCCAATCTCAATTTGAGCTATCTCAATTCCCTTTACAGCATTATGAAAGGAAAACAGTCTGAATACTCTGATACTAGAGTCCTGTAATGAAAGAGGAAAAGGGAGGGTTTTTTTCCTTCTGAGTAATTTTTCTTTCTAGTAATTTCTAACAGAAATTACAGTGTTAAAAAGTAACTCGTTATTTTTTAGTCAGTTCTAAACAGAAGACAAGTTTTAAGTGTCTGTTCAAGATTAGGTAGGCTCAGAAATCCTAATTTTTAAATGTAATAACACACTGGGAGATGAGGAGAGAGAAGACATTTATTCTACTTAGACTACTAATATTGGGCCAAGATTCCCCATATAGACCATGTCAGTGACCTTATGATCCAGCTGAGAAAATGAAAGACCTTGTGAGGCAGAAAGGAGCCAGGGAAGAGTATCTCACAGTACATATGTATCCAAAACACTGGTAAGGATGAGGTACATGAGACTTGTATTTTGGCATTAAACTGCTTAATGCATCCCTTCAGAAAGTACTGGTTTATATAATAAGAGTGGTTTGATGGTTTGGGGTTTTTTTGTTGATGTTGAGGTTTTTTGGTTGGTTGGTTGTTGTTGTTTGTTTTGGGGTCTTTCTTGTTACAAATTGCATACTATTTTTTAAGTTAAGCTTGGTTTTTTATCAGCCACTTAAAGTCCTGTTGAAACCCACATATTACTTATCCCTTCTACTTGATTTTGGGCTATATAGGTTATGTCCAAGCATCAAAGCAAGACAAGAAGTTCATGGCTTGTGCTCCAGATTACTCCTACGCTGCTCTCTGCGAGTGCTTGCGACGAGTTTTCATCTATCGCCAGCCGACTCCTCTGGCCACAGTTCTGTACAACAGGAAGGAAGGGAGACAAGTAGGACAGGTTGCTAAGCAGCTGGTAGCAACCCTGGAATCCAATGATCCTATCTTAGGCTTTCAAGCTACAAGTGAGAGATTATTTGTTCTCACAACAAAAACCTTGTTTTTAATAAAGGTGAACTCTGGAAATTAATTATTCAGTGTGCTCTGCTGTAGTTTGTGTTAACAATTTGTTATAGAAGTGAATGGGTAGGCAGTCTGGCAAGTTCAGTACAATTTGCTGAAAATCAAAAAGGGGATGTTTTATAGGGGAATCAAATTTCTTCATTAGAATTTTTCTGTAAGAAAGTGAGTTTTGACTTTGCTGCTATGGAAGTAAGCTTTTTCACAGCTATGGGAAAATGTCTTCTGCATTAACATCTTTGTCAAAGTATTGTCAAATGCTGCTATTACATAGGTGAATAGATTTATGCATTGCTTTTTCCAAGTGACTTTGCTGTACTTCTGAGTTTTGAGAATTCACTACTGTTTCCACTGTTAACCTATGGAAAAAGTAGTCACATAAAGAGTTACGATGTGGAAAGTAGAATGTATCATAAAGAAAACAAATCTCCAGTTGACCAAAAAACTGATTTGGTATTTTGACATTCAGTAGTTTTGAGTGAAATGTGAGTGAAATGAATGGGGTATTATGTTTCTTATACAGGTAATTAAATGGAGCAATTTTACTGTATATGCACATTTTAAATTATTGGTTTGGGACTTATTTATACTTACATTAAAATCTGTTCACATTTCTAGAATAAGCTTTAGTAGATTTTTCCAGAAGAAAATAAGGGTCAATATATAGCTGGCAGTTATACATCCAGTGCTGTTACTTAAGGTCTTGTCATACTCTCAGTTGTGCCATTTTCACTTGACGTTATACTTCAAGTGACTCATTTACAATGAGAAAATGGCTGATAGAAAAAGCACTGGTATTGTAACCTGGGATGGGACACTCAGAGGTGCTGCTTCTGCCTCAGATGCCACTGTAAATGCTGCATTGTCACTTAACTGTTCTGTCTGTGATGCCTAAGTCAAAACGTGATATATTTGCAATGTAAGAGTACTCAGGCCAATGAGGATGCTTTGGTTTAACAAACTGGTGTGGTTAATTGAGTTGAATAGTTGTATCTGAAGATTTTTGTTTCTTTGGTCTTTTTAATTTTGTTTAAATTGGCATTATCAATACATTTAAACCAAAGAGTCAGTTGTGACAGCTCCACCCTGGGTTGGGCTTTTTTCATAGTTGGGTTACAAATCCATAACAAAGAATGCCTGACATGTTGTGTACTGACAGGAAAGCTGCTGTCATCAAAGTACTGAGAGGCACAAATACAGACAGTCTTTTAGTTTGCATCTCCCTACCAATATTATCTTAGAACTCTGTAAGAATCTTTTGAGAGAAGAATAAGTGTTTCTTTAGTTGTGATTGTTTTGACTCTCCTGTAAATTCTCCAGATTTGTATCAGTGAATTGATTAAATAGCAAGAGGGAGGCAAGCAGTTGTGGCTTGCAAAAACCCTGCAAATGCAGAAGCTTTTCAAGGGACCTGATTTTCCTTCTCTTCACAGCAGGATTATATTGTAAATCCAATATTGAAGAGCTTTTCTTTACTTTTACTTGGGTAAGTTAAAACAGACTGGATTTGTAAACCTCTTTTCATTCTGTCCTTTTAAAACTGTCTTGAAAATGCTTTTTGGAAAGGCTCAGTGAATGTATTACTATTGCATGACTGTTTTGCATCTAAATTTTATTTATTGTCCAGTAATGTCAAACAAGGTGGTATAATTCCTGCAGAGGTCCTATAAGTGCTTTTAGATGTATATGAATATTACTTAGTAACCTGGGGTTTAATCTTTGGGGACGCAGAGTTAAGAATGTGGTATTTGGGAAATGGAGGAATGAAAGAGTAAAGGAATCATAGTCAACATGCTTCTGTCACCTCTGCAGGCAGCTTCAATATAGATGAGAATTTCAGCTGTTCTTTGTCAAATTCTTCTTCCTGTGAGTTACATATCTGGAAACATGCTCTGCTGTCTCCTGCAACAGAGGAAACAGCAAAATGGTTATCTCTTCAGAGATATTAGAATATGCAGTGACTAGAACTCACATTCCAAAGGTGTGTCTGTTTCAAGGGAGGTCCTGTTTGCATCTCAAACTGAACTGAACACAGTTATCTGAAATAACTGAACACAGGAAAAGGTTCATCCCTTTTCCATGTTACTCATCTGTTTGTAATCATGGTTCCCAGGAAAAATGTATCAAGTAGTCTCTCTCTTATTTTGCTTCTATGATAGTCAAGCATGTTATTTATATTATTTTTTACCTTGAGGAACCTGGAGTGCTGTTGCACAGCAAGCTGCTATGCCCCTGAGGCAGGGCAATCCCAAGCGCAAAAGCAGGCTGGGCAGAGAATGGATTGAAAGCAGCCCTGGAGAAAAGGACTTGGAGGTGCTTATGGATGAGAGGATGGACATGGCCCAGCAGTGTGCATTTGCAGCCTAGAAACCCAAACATATCCTGGGCTACCTCATGTGACATACATGGCCTGTAGGTCCAGAGAGGTGATTCTGCCCCTCTGCTCTGCTCTGCTCAGGTGAGAGCTCACCTGGAGAAGTGCATCCAGCTCTGAGGACCCCAGCATAACAGAGACGTGGAGTGGTTGGAGCAAGTCCAGAGGAGGGACACAAAGATCATCACAGGGCTGCAGCACCTTGTCTATGAGAGGTGGAGGTTGTTCAGCCTGGGAAAGAGAAGTCTCTGGGAGACCTTAGAGCAGGCTCCTAGTACACAGAGGGAACCTGCAAGAGTGTTGGAGAGGGGTTTTGGACAAGGGCGTGTAATGGTAGGACAAGGGATAATGGCTTTAAACTGAAAGAGAGTGGGTTTAGGTTAGATACTGGAGGAAATTCTTCACTGTGTGAGTGGTGAGGTACTGGACAAAGTTGCCCAGAGAAGTTGTGGATGCTCTATCCCTTGAAGCTCAGCACCAGACTGGATGGGGCTTTGAGCAACTTGATCTAGTGCAAGGTGTCCCTGCCCGTGGCAGTGGGGTTGGAGCTAGATGATCTTTAAGGTCCCTTTCCAAACGTTCTATAATAATTAAATGGCTGCAAGCCACCAGGAGACACTAATCAGTATTTCCATTTCTGTGTTCAGTTACTCTTCAGGCTTATTTGTTCAGCATATCCTCAGTAGGCTTATACAAAGTATAAAATACGGATATTTAAAGAGATGGTTTTCTGACAACCATGCTTCAATTTTGCTAGGATTTTGTTTCTTGAAATCTTACTTTCCAGACAGTTCTTCCTGAGAGGTCCCAATCACAATCTGTTTACAGAATTTCTGAGAAAATATTTGTCTATTACAGGCTTGCTTGGCTGTTACTGCATTATTCGATTTTAGTATTCTTTTTCAAGGCTTTTCTTGACTGCATGTTTGGAATGCATAATGTATTCTACAAGTTTAAATAAATAGGAAAAATGTTAAAATTTTAAGATTATTTTAAAGGATTTATATTACTTTCAAATGCATAGCCTTCCCATGCTACTGAAATAAAAATAGAAATAAGAAATTCCTTAAAATAAAACTTGTGTTAAGAAGTTTTCTGCTAGGACAAAGTTCTAGCAGGTGTCTGCACTGCAGGGCCAGGGCTGTTGCCAAGACATGCACTATTGCACTCCTTGTTTATCTCTGTGAAATCCCCTTGCTAATCTTCCATTTCTGCCAACACAAAGAGGTAGTTACTGGAGGGAGTTGATAAATATTCAGGTGTATTCTTATGTTAAAGTGCACACTGTGCCTCTGATACTGTGTCTTCTTTATGTACAAAACCCTAATGATCTGGACAAGCCCTTCTAAATGCAAAAGAGAGATCTGTCCTTCCCTTCCTTTCCCCCCTACCTCAACACAGGTGCTTTCTGCAGGAAAGTGAAGGAAAAGAGGGAGGATTTGTCTGTGTGTCTGTCCTTTGTCAAAAAGTAGCTCTTCATAAATGAAACAATAGATCCTATGAGAACTAACAAACAAGGTTAAAGCATATATTTTATTTCATTTTTTTGTGCTTTGTTTCAATAATGAGCCAATAGAACTTTTTCATTTCCTTGCCTTCTGTCAATTTTTGTTTTCTATTCTCATTATGCAGGTTAAATGAACTTGAGGCCTGCAGTCAATCACATATTAGCCATGTAATAAAAAATTTTGGTTTAAAATTTTGTGCCGTCAGTCCTATGTGCCATTTTTAACATATTTCTGGAAATCTGGTGGGATTTGTTTCCGCTCTTCCCTATGCAATACAAGTTCATTTGTGCTGTGAATAAAAATCAGCAAGGTCTAAAGAGAACATCTTTGCCATAGAAGAGCCAAGCATCAAGCAAGCATCAAGGCTATTGCAATCATTTCAAACTCAAGGTATAGTCCTTTTTTCTTTGAGAAGTGTTTGCTGGAGTAATAGTTTCTTCTTTATAAAAGGTTTCAGGTACTTCTGAAAAACTTTCTTTACACAACTGAAGTGGTAGCTGGATATGGATTAAAATAGATCTAATTAACAGTTTCAGATGCAGACCTGGAACATACTTGTCATAGTCTTTACCAATCTAATGCTCTATGCAAAATATCCTTTATAAACCATTCCAGTGCATTTTTGCAATCTAATGTCAGTTGCAAGGAATTCTCAAGAAGAAAACACAGGAAAGCAAATATTACAAAATAAATCATTTTAGAACGTGACTTTCATTATGCTGTGGTGAATATACACTTTCTAGTAGTGTATTCCAATAATACATTTCTTAATGTATTAGTTGTATTCTGAATGTGCAGGGCTTAACTATGAATGTACATTTGAATTTTCATCTGTATATGCACACACCCGTATGAATTCAGACTGCCTTAAGGTACTGGGGAGGGTGGGGTGGCTTTTGGAGACGATAATCTTTTAACTTTACTGACAGTAAAGCTTAAATTATTTATTAACATGTTCATGAATCTGCCATACGTGTGTTGTAATGTCATGATAACTGCTTGATGTGAAAGCATCAGTCATGAGTCCTATGGTAGTTTCCTCTGCTGAGGATTAAATATGAAATATCTTAGTATTTCATTTTACTCAAACAGCTCAGAGGCTAAGTATTGAGTAGATGCCTCAAATTGGCAGAATTGATGCAGAAGTGATAAGCATTTGTTTTTATCAGAACAAATGATGTTTAGAGGGAAAAGAAATAAGACCTACTGAATACTAATTCAGTCACTTTCAGCACTGAAATTGCAGCTGATTGGCCTTTAATGATTTTTCTCTTTGAAGTTACTCATTCTCTCTGTTGCATGTGTCCCCTCTAATAAATGTGGAGTATCTTATGGTAATTTAAGGTTGAGCAATTTATGGGAATTTTCTGAATAACTGAATTATGCTTGCATATGAGGTGTCTAAAATATGGGCATGAGGTACGAGATGGATACACCCACTCATAAAGAGACCAGGAACTCAGGCTCTTGATTTGATCAAGGGCTGGTGACCATCTGAGCACAAATAAAAAAGAATGCTTTGATGACATTTTCATGAGTTGCAATTTCAGATTCTAAAAATAGTAAAAATATGGGAATCTGTGCAGAATCATTATAGAATCACAGAATAGTTTGGGTTAGAAAGGACCTTAAGGATCATCTAGTTAAAACACTCTTGCCATGAGCAGGGACAA